TTATAGTAATATTATTAGTTCAACCAACAATACTAAATTTACTTGTATCATAAATTACATGACCTTTTTTTTTGTGTATAAATGACTCTATAATAAAAATAAACAAATCAAAATATATTTGTGCTAAATCATGGTGAGAAAAAAAATACTTGAATTACATTCGAACATATTTATGCCCGAGATTCAAAAGTTAGAGAATATTTTTCGATGATTGATGCTCGTATTGACATTCATTTACTGCATATTTGTGTCACATAAGATCCATTAATATTAAAAAAATATATTTAAACTTTCATTCTTATAGTATGCATTGCGGGAAGAGAGAATTAAGTTGTTATAGTGAAACACTGTCGTTGAGGTTTTACTTTTACAATAAAAATAAAATAAAATAAATCACATAATTTATCGTATAGAGATTATCAGTAGTGAGAATAAATATTTTAAAAAAAAGAATACGTGTATGCAACGACAAAGATGTAGAAAAAGTACCAAGAGTTGAATAATTTTTTACAACACTAATACAATTGTTCCTATTATTACAATATTATTGTGGTAATTATTATACATGTCTCAAAATAGATTTTTATGAGTGTCATTTTAAGGAGTTATAAATTTGTATATTAAATATTTGAAGGTTATTAATATGAAAGGTTAGGATTTATAGACATTACTAAATTAATTAAGATTTAAATTTATGTAATTGAAGAGGTATGAATTAAGAAGATGATTTTATAAAATAAAATAATTGAAAAAGATTAGAAAAAATGTTAATTTTTTTTATAATATATATATTGATGTTATTTATATCTCTTCTCCTATTTTTTGGCTTTTATCGTTATTGTGTTTAGCTTTTCCCTTTTTTATTTATTAATTTGTGTACTATATATTAATTCCACATTAGTCTTGCTTTATTATTTCAATAAAACCTGAAAAGTGAAACATCCACTCTCTTCCTTAACCGATTAGAAAATAAATATTCATCATTTCTAATAAATTAAATTATATGCTTACACTTTGTATAAAATATATGTATATAGTTTGTTTGGATGGAAAGTGCAATAACATATAATATTAGATTTCTCTTTTTCTTTTTTTCTTCTTCCATATTTTTCATTGAGGTATCAACTATATTCTTTTAATTGTTTATATGATACAATTTTGGAGCTAGTCATTTTTAATTATTACGTAATAATAATAGAAATGTTTATATGCAATTCACACAAAAAAGATTAATTATATATCAAATAATTTTATGAACATGATTATATCAATATAATTTAGAAGTTATATAATCATCAAATGTCATGAAAGTAAGAAAAATAAAAGGCAATTAAAATTTTCTATTAAAGAATATGAATAAATAAAGGAGTAGTAATTGACATATTTATTTTTTTACAATATTAAGAAATATATAAACAAAAAAAATTATCAAGAAAATGAGAAAAAAAGAAGATAAATATGATTCTTGGCAAAAAAAAAGTGTCACTATCACTTTTCTTCTATATAAGTTATATGTTGGTAAAGTAAGTAGATTGAGAGAGAGAAATAGTTTTACTAAATTATTTTTATCATAACCAAATACTTTCACATTTTGAGTTCGGACCCAACAAATCATAATAGTGATCTCTAAATATCTCAAAACTTGAAAACTTCTACCAATAATAATAATAAAAATCAAATATGAAGATTTGCAAAGTTACATATTAATAATCAATTTTTTTATGAATTAAACGGTATCTTGAAAATTACAAATCAACTTTACATTCTCATGTTCTATGCTTTAGCTTAAACGGGGCAAAAGTAGCTATCTGGCACATTAGGGAGGAGGTCTCATCTGAGGAAGGCGGATGATAGGATAGCCCTATTTTGAATCAGATCTTCTTCTATTCCCGACATCAAGCCTGATTAGCTCGAGTAAAGTGAAGTAATTTCCTTTTTTTTCTCTCGACGGCAAAGCTTCTTCTATTAATAAAAATTGATCCACATAACTATAAAATTATCTACATACTTTCTTGAGTAGCATACATGTATATGTATGTTAACTCCCTTTTCTACTCTTTTTTTTCAAAAATATCTTGACTTGAAAACACGATAAGTTAACCTTACAATAACACAACAACACAACAACAACAAAATACATAAATATAAAGTTAACTAACCAAGTAAAAACTTTAAAGAATATTCAATTATGAGTTGAAGAGGAAAGAAGGACCATGCTCTCAACACAACATAATCAATTCTTCAAAACCTACAAAGAGAAGAAGAGAGTAAAAATAATCAGATTCTTTAGAAACTACAAAAAAAAAAGAAAAAAAAAAGGAATCTAAGAAACCACAAAGAGAAGCAAAAGAGAAAAAAATCACATCATTTTCTTAAAAAAAGTTCATGTTTTGTATCATCTAAAATTCAAAAAAATATTATAAATATATAATTACAATAGAAAAAAGTGATAATTAAAACATTCTTCATTATACATATCTCTCCTGCAAAATAAGATCAAAGAAGATAAAAAAAATGACCAACCAAAGAAACACAAGATGAAGAATAAGAAAAATGTAAATGAAATAATCATCATACATGTCTCAAGATAAGTTTTTATAAATGTCATTTTAAGGAGTTATAAATTTATATATTAAATAATATGAAGGTTATGAATATGAAAGTTTAGGAGTTATAGATATTACTAAATTAATTAAGATTTAAATTTATGTAATTGAAGAGGTATGAATTTAGAAGATGATTTTATAAAATAAAATAATTGAGAATAATTAGAAAAAAATGTCAAAAAAACCACAAAAAAAAGATAAATAAGATCCTTGGCCATTGAGAGGTGCCACATCACTTCTTTTTTTATCTAGCTTTATATTTGTATATATATATGATTATATATTTTTTCATGACATTATTATTGTTGTTATTGATCAATACTTCTGTCCATTCTATATTCTTTGTTTCTGTGAAAGTAGGGACATAGTAGTGTGTTCGGTCAATCAAATAACTTTGATCTCTATAAATTTCATTGAATAAATACACATAACTAATTTAGAATTCAATAACATAAAAGACTAAAGCTCAAAATTAATCAAATTTAAATTTTTACTTTACCTCTCCGAAGTAAAAAGGAATTAGCAAAATGATAAATTTTCATCAATAATATTTTATAATATTAAAAAGTCCTTAAAATAACTATATTAGTAAAAATAAGTTTTAATTTTTTAATTAATAACAAATTTATAAAACGACCATTCACTTCGCGCGAAGCGCGGACAAATTCACTAGTTTTGAATAATTTTGAAATGATGAGTAGCACTTAATAAGCAGTCCAAGAAGTAGTTATTTGTCAACTGAATTCATTTTGATATCAGGGATTTATAATTTATTTGGCTAAGTGTTTGGAAAGTTAAAAATATCTTTTTTTATTTATTTTATAAAAAAATAGTTATTAAAGAGTTAAAGTGTTTGATCAAACTTTTAATAAAAAGTAAGTATTTTTAAGCTTTATCAAAAGTTATGTTTCAAAAGTTGAAAACAATACTAACTTCTTCCTATACACATTTTAAAAGCTTGATTAAGCATAACTTGTTAATCTAGTATTATTTTTTTTAAAAATAAATTGATTAGTCAAACATAATTATTACCTTCAAGATTACTCTTTTTTTTGGTCAATTCTCGACCATGACTTTTTTTTTGGTAATAAAATGTGAAATATTACCATACCACCACGAATATTTACAACCTAAAGAGCCCTAGTGTTTTCAGCCACCTTCTAGGAAGGGTGCCTCAAATCACTAGGTCTCAGGAAAAACACATAGATCTAATTACAAATCTTTGAAATAAAAACCTGACATCTATGAGCTCTCTTTGTGTCTCTCAGAATGTAAATTCTTTGGCATATTTCCCTTCGTATTTGTGTGATGACAACCTCAGGTTGTATATTTGTTTGTTGAAAAATTTTCTTATTTCTTGTTTGCCAAGTGTAGTAAATCATCGCCCCCCACACTGCTGCTACTATCTCCTTTTGGAACTGCTTCCACCTTCTTTTCTTGATCAATTGGAGTGTGTTACAAACCCCTGCGCATTGTATTGTTATCCCTAACCACCTACTTAATCTGTGTCGTATTTCTGTTATCCAGCCACACTCTTTGAAAAGGTGCAATTGTGTCTCTTATTTATCCTCGTCACATAAACAACACTTAGTAGTGTCAATGGAAATGTTTAACCGCATTAATCTTTCCTTCGTAAGCAATCTCTCTTGGTAAGCCAACCATATTATAATCCTTTGTTTGGGCATCAAGATTGAACTCCACACTAGATCAACTTCCTTCATCTTAGGCAGCTCTCCCAATATAGCTTGGTAGCTCTGCGAAATAGAATAGTCCCCTGTTGGTGTGAGTGTGTACCTCCCTCTTTGATACCAACATGCCATTTGAACCTTCAAAGAGTTTAGTTTCTTCCAATACCAGCTATAATCAGCTGGTGGACAATGATCCCATATGTTTCCATTCGATTTCATATAAACTCCATTTACTCATTTGACCCACCGAATATCCTTCTTGCTTGCTAGCTACCATAATAATTTCCCCGCTAACGCTATATTCCAATTGCAACATCCCTTGATATTTAGGCCTCCATACTTCTTTGGCATACATACTTTGGATCACTTGACTGATGCTACTTTCCTTTTGCCTTCCATAGCTCCCCATAAAAAATTCTACATTTCCTATCAATTTCTTTCAGAACACTCTGGGGCAGTATGAACACTGCCCCCCAGAAGTTATACATAGAGAACAACACATCCATTATAACTTGTAATCTTCCAACATATGAGAGGTGTTTAGAGTAGGCTTCTTTAATTCTGTTTGTAATTTTATCCACCATTTGCTGACAATCCATTTTGTTCCATTTCTTTGAAGTGAGTGGTAGTCCCAAATACTTGATTGGTAAGCAGCCCAATGAGAAACCAATTTTAGCAAGAATGGTTTGTTTTACACCATCTTCCACTAAATGTTAGATTTGTCCAAATTTGCCACCAATCCTATTACCTCACTAAAATGATAAAGTGCCTCCATAACTCTCGAGACTGAACTCAAATTTCCTTTACAGAAAATCATAAGATCATCTACAAAGATTAAATGAGTTAGTTTATTCCTTTTACACATTGAATGAAATTGGAAGTCGGGCAGCGTGCTCATTTTATTTAGCACTCTTGACAGATACTCCAGAACGATAACAAACAAAAGAGGAGATATGGGGTCCCCCTGCCTGAGGCCCCTCTGTCCTTCAAAGTATCCATATCCTTCACCATTCACCTTCACAGAGAATTTTGTAGTTGTAACACATACCATTACCATTCTAGTGAAGGTTTCAGGAAATCCAAAACCTCTCAATACTTCATTTATAAAATCCCAACTCACTATGTCATAAGCCTTCCTAAGATCAATCTTCATAAGACATATAGCAGAGGTCTTCCTATTGTAATGTCGAAGTAATCCAAAACCTCTCAATACTTCATTTATAAAATCCCAACTCACTATGTCATAAGCCTTCCTAAGATCAATCTTCATAAGACATATAGCAGAGGTCTTCCTATTGTAATGTCGAAGTAATCCAAAACCTCTCAATACTTCATTTATAAAATCCCAACTCACTATGTCATAAGCCTTCCTAAGATCAATCTTCATAAGACATATAGCAGAGGTCTTCCTATTGTAATGTCGAAGTAATCCAAAACCTCTCAATACTTCATTTATAAAATCCCAACTCACTATGTCATAAGCCTTCCTAAGATCAATCTTCATAAGACATATAGCAGAGGTCTTCCTATTGTAATGTCGAAGTAATCCAAAACCTCTCAATACTTCATTTATAAAATCCCAACTCACTATGTCATAAGCCTTCCTAAGATCAATCTTCATAAGACATATAGCAGAGGTCTTCCTATTGTAATGTCGAAGTAGATCATGACAGATTAAAACATTGTGTATCAGGGATCTACCTTCCACAAAAGTTGTTTGTGTTTCGCTAATCAAACTAGGGAGCACCTTTTTTAGTCTTGCACACAGTACTTTAGAAACACACTTATAAATCACATTACAGCATGAGATTGGCATGAATTGGCTCGCATGCTCTGGAACTGCTATCTTGGGAATCAAGGCTATGATTGTTGCATTGATTTGTCTCAACAATTTACACTCTCTAGGAACTCTAAAACTGCCTGAATCACACCTTCCCCCACCACACTCCAATCATCTCTGAAGAAACCACTCCCATACCCATCCGGACCAAGGCTCTTGTTCACATCAATACTAAACATAGCTTGCTTGACCTCCTTTTCTGCATATGGCCTGATCAACTCCAATTGTTGTGGAATTGTGAGCATGTGTCCATTCTTTAAAAAACTACCAAAAGCTTTGATTCTATACCTCTCCTTTTTCCCCAACAACTCCTCATAGTATTCAACAAACATCTTCGCAATACTTGTGTTCTCTGTTTGCATTTTTCCTTCCTTATCTCTGATTTGGTTAGTAGCTTGTTGTAGCCTTTTATGCTTTATGATGGAATAAAAATACCTTGTATTATCATCCCCCAACTTTATCCAATTTACTTTGCTTCTCTGTTGCAGAAAAACTTCAGCCAAATATGAGGATTTCCTGAATCGCTGACACTTCTGTTTCTCTTGTTCCTGAAGTGCTATATCGGATGGATTTTGGTGCAACCATTTTTGTACTTCTGCCAATGCCATCCTGTCCTCCTCTGCCTCAATGGGTATATTCCGAAAATGCTCTCTATTAAGCTCCTGGAAACTCTTTTTTAAACCCTTAAGGCTTTTTACTACTTGGAACATCTTGCACCCTTCACCTTGAATTTTCCATCCTCGTTGCACAATATCCATAAACTTTGGATGTTTGGCCCAAACATTACAAAATTTGAAAGCTCGTTTTGGCATGTTGAGTCTTCCCTCCTTAGCCAATTTCAATGGACAATGGTCACTAATACCCTCCATAAGAAAATTAACCTTATACACTGGCATAATGTCTATCCACTCCTTATTTACAAAAGCCCAATCAATTTTTGAGAAAATTATGTTCTCTCCATGCTTATCATTCCATGTGTATCTATTTCCACCATATGGTAATTATATCAATTCACATGCTTCAATACATGCCTGAAAATCTGCCACCTCCCCTAAGCTTATAGGGTTGCCACCAATTCTGTCATCTGGTTGCAAAACTAAGTTGAAATCTCCAAGTATCAGCCATGGGGTATTACTCCCTATACTAATACTCTCCAAGTGGTTCCATAACATTCTTATCTCCTCTCTAGTATTAAAGGCATATACATTTGTTAAGTCTGTTTGAGCAACTATATCCTTAACACCACATGTTAAACTCTGCGCATCTCCAGTAATCTTGTGTAATTGATAGTAATCAGATCTCCATAACAACACTATTCTACTATTATAATGATAGTCCAGATTTGTAATATAACTAGTGAATTGAGCCGCGCTTCGCCCGGTAATAAGTTTTTTAAACAATTTATTCATAACATGCGAATGATAAAATTGATTTTTTGACGTGCATGAGTAACAAATTTGAAACATAATTTTCCTTTATACATTTAATAATAAGTATTTAACTTTATTTCCTTTCATGGAAAATTTAATCTTTAGTATGTTCATATACTATATTTTAAATTTAAATCTAAAAACTTAGCTACTATATAAATACATGAACTTGTCTAATAGTCCCATTTACATTCTATCCTGGTTCTATCAGGGTATAAAAAAACATATTCACATTTTTCTTCTTTTTTCTCTTCCTTTCCATGACTTCTTTCCTACTCCCCACTCTTCTTCCATCTTTGCCTTTTCATTCACCTTCCTTTTATAAAATTGAAAAGAAATAAAAAAAGAATAATATTACAAATAAAATAAATCTGTCTATCTTTCTTTCATTTTCTCTTCAAATTCATCATCTCTAGTCTCCAATTAATTTTATCTAACCGTCAATTTTTATTTTTCTCTTATGATAATATTTATTATTGTGCCTTGTAAATTATATATGAAAGATATTGAAATAAATTTCCCTTTAAGTATTCTTTCTTCCATTTCTTTTTTATCTTTAGTCACATAATGTCGATGTTATTACCAATTAGTTTCGTGCGACATCAATTGCTATTATTTTCGAAAAGGCGTTGAACAATGTATTTTTTCATCAGATTCTCATAGACGTATGCGAAAGCGTTAGAAATTCATACAAACTCTGTTAAATACGAATTATATATAGCGATATTGAGATTTTACATTGTGTATTGATAATTAAGAGATAAAAGTAAAAAGCTCTTATATTAATTAAATTGAGCAAAATGATGCACACAAATTTAAATCTTGCAATTGCGATTTGTGTGTTGAGATGTGGACTTATATAAATCTTGAAATATTGCTTGATATTTGTTAAGGTAATTACAATTATCAATAAAAAATAATTAAAACAGAAAATTAAGAGAGACTTGAGGAGATGTTACATGCAGAAAAAGTAATAAGGACAAATAATAAGTAACAGTAATGAGCAATAAATGATCCATACGTTTTCCTGCAAATCTAAGGAAACAATTTTTTTTTT